TATTCAAAGGCTTGTATAGTTAGAGTGGATGGATTTTAGTTTGTGACACCCAAGCTGTGGACAAATTCCTTGAAATCTCTCTCTCTCTCTCTCTCTCTGTCTCTCTCTGTCTCTCTCTCTGTCTCTGTCTCTCTCTCTCTCTCTCTCTCTCTCTCACACACACACACACACCTCTTACATAAATACATACAATCTTGTGGATTCTTACTCTATTTTACTTGTAGCCTCTATCCAGGAGATTATTAGAGATAACTCAATTATCATCATTAATCTGTCTTGAGAGAGGATACAAACATCTCCTTGCTTAAAGATGCCTTTATTGGATCTCTCAGTTATAGGCAATAGATTATATGTCATTGTGCAATCTTCTGTAATTATTTTATATCTTTAGCTAAAATATTTAACCAGAAGCATTTATTGCCTAAGAAGTATGGTGCCAAGCTTCCCTTGAGGCATTCTTGGACTTTTATATATAATTATCTTTAAATCTTTATCTAGAGCTAAAAGTATTTTTCATTCTTTGTACAAAACAAAGAGTTATTACAGGTTAAAAGAGTCTAATATAGCTAAAAAAAATCTGCCATATCTTCTGCTATTCAACACTTTTGTGATGTTCCTACCTATCCCCTCACTTAACCCCTCTCTGCGCTTATAATTCACTTGCTCTTCTCAGGCCATGATGCACATGTCCAGTCACATTCCCTCACCCCCAAACAATACCCTGACAAGCAGTCTCCTTCTCTCCATCCCCCCGTTCCACAAGTGATCCAACTCTGGCCATACCCATCCAAACACTTGGTGGCATCAAATCAAAGTCAGGTTCAAAAACAGAAAGAAAGCCTCAAAATTCAATGAACCAACTTTTCACATTGAAATCTGTGAATCAAGGCAGACTAAGGATGAATTCTGCATGCAAATGTTCCAACAATTGGACAGAATAACCCTGATTAGCCAAAATAATTAAATGACAATGCTCAACTTTAAAAAGGAAGCCTCTACTTTCTTCATTACAACACCTTGTAATGTAACAGTGATTGTTGCACTCTAGAACAAAGTTCTCAGTTGTTTGTCTCTGCCATATTGAGTTACATATTCCAGGCTCCTAGTTAATCTTCCAGATCTGTAAATACTTTTGATAAAGCATTTCATTAAACACTTTCATTAAAAACATTTTGCTTTCTAACTCTTTGGACTAGTTTACAATGTCAATGAGATGGTTTGCACTCAAACCTTTTAAATAACATGACCATAATAAAAAAGGATTGAGGGGAAAAGACAAAAAAATAATAGTTAATGTTACACTAGCTTGAATTGGACTAGCAAAAAAGCATCTTATACTAAAAGGAACTTTTTCTACATCTTTTCCCAGGTGGTTTTATTCATCACTTATTCAAAACATTGTTTTCCTTCATGAAGGCACTTCTAGGAAGATGACATGTTGCAAAATAAGCAAACACATGTAATTTCTGAACTGCATGTAATATACATATTGAGATTATTTAAACAATAAAAACCCAGCACACTATTTATGCATCTCTGAAAAAAAATAACATTGCTCTTGTATTTTAGTTTGGGCACCAAAATTAGTATTTGTGAGAACTCTTTCAGGCATTGTTTGTCAGACTTCCATTTGTCTTCTTCCCACAAACTGAAATGACATCCATATGTGGAAAGCAGATTCACATTTTATGCAGCTGTTACGTCTACTGCAACTATGTACTGCAGATACATAACACACAGAATTTCTAAACAGCCAGTGGATACGTGCAGTGTGTGTGGGTGTGGGGGAGAGTCTCTTAGCTTACTCAGAGCTGCTTGCAGTTAAAGAAGCCACATCACCTGAAAAAGACAAGTCCACAATAACACTGCAGAAAACCCCCACCTCTCTTTGGTTGATAATGATAAAAACAGAGGTAGATGTCTCTTCCTTCTCTTTCAAACACTTCTGTTCCAGCAACCATTTTCATTATTGCCATCATTCATTGTAGATGAAGCAGGATGAGAAACTAGATAGCAACAGGTAGATTTGATAGAATCAATAGATGGGTCTGAAGATCAAAAACAACTTATGAGGGAATGGGTAAGAAATAAATAGGATTGTAATTCTGTGGCGTCACTTCTTCCATTGTGATAGATCCAGAATTTGGGTTTAAGACAGAAATGGAATCAAGAAATAACACAGCCTTAATCATATATTGTAAAAATTCTATTACAGTTATAAGTAGACAATAAAAAACAAAATCCAGAAATAGCTTTTTCCACAAAGTGAACAGAATTCACTTCTGCACCATGCAAAATTTTACTGCTTTGCTGCAAGTTAGACTTGTAGTTCTCATTAACCACAATATATCTAATTTCTTTCCCTAATTGGGGGACCATTAGGTTAATTTGTCTAATATTTATTCATTAACTCCTAAAGTGTATCAACTTCACCTACATGTCTTGCATATTTCTTTGGAGAATTTCATTAACATACATTACTGTGCAGTACTATAAAATCCCTCTTATGTATTTTGTATTTTCTTCTGGTATTTTTAGAATCATGGAATCTTAATATGTCTTACTATGTGTTAAATCAGTATTCATAGGAATCTAATATTCTCCATGTAGTTATATGTACATAAACAATTACTGTTACTTTACTGAAAGAGATTAGCACTGAGCAATCTTTCAAGAGATGCTTTGTTCATGCTCTTTTATGTTGTAAAAGTTTTTTTGAAGGATTTGCACAACTTTCATCCATATATAATCTAACAGACTAAAATGTTATTAGTGTTTCCTAAGGTATTCTTTAACTATGCCTAGCAACTGCCCTTTCGGTTAAAATTATGCTTTGTACTAGAAATACTATAAACAGAAAAGTGTTATCAGTCAAATAAATTAATGAAAGCAGTGTCTTTCCCCTCCTACTCTGTAATTGGCACAGAAACAAAGGAAATCCTGTTTTAGCTATTTTCTCTTGGGCATGGATTGATTTTCTCTGTTCTATAATGAAAGAATCAGGAGAACAGCATTCATACTAATGGAAGTGTAGATTAGTATTGCCTTGAATACTTATTGCCCTGACCAACAGCTATAAGACCAATAGTCTGGCGATATCACTAGTCAAGATATTTTAGATCATTTTTCCTTCAATTCCAGACATCATGAAGGCTCAGTGCTTTTGCAAGAATGGGCAGAAAGGCCTCCAACTAGGAATAGGGAAAAGGACTATTAAATCATAGGCAGGAGTACATCAAAAGTCAGGATGATAGCTGCAATCACATGTATAACACACATTGAGATGGGCAGGACTCAGTGGCAGCTGCCATTTTGGGGTTTACCTCCCCTGCAAGGGCCCTGATGATAGTTATCTCTAGTTCTTCATTACCTAGAAGGATAATCATAAGGATGCTTTTGCAAAGATTAATATTTAAAATTCACCTACCTATTTAGAAGATGACTGCAGTGCACAACATTCAGCTCTGGGTACAGTGCTAAAGCCTGTTCTAAAGTTGTCCCAAAGCTATAATAGCAAAAAAAAACCTGTAGATTTAATTTCTCCCTGTCATAGAATAAGCTGAACTTATTTGCCATCGATAATGTCCTCCCTACCCCTGGAAAAACATAACTGAATTATATGCATTTTGAATCCCATTGTTAGCAAGAAATCCCACTGGCTGTATTGCAGATCTTACCATGACAACAACCTATGCATATATATTAGAAGTTTTATATGAAAGCAAGGACACAGATCTCTTCAGCTAAATAGCAAATAGAATTGGAATCTATACACCATGTCCTGAATACTATTTATTCAAGGAAAGGAACATGGTAGTATCTTTAACTTTGGATTTTACCTGAATTTTACCCACACCTAATTGTGAAATGTAGCATTTTTCTCATTGAGAAATAGCCATTGTTTTAATAGAGGTACATGAATTTATAAAATATGTATGTGTACTATGTATGACTGGGTCAAGATTAGGTTCAACATGCACTAAAGGATATCCATGCGTATTCTGCTTAATTGTGGCATATAGTATATGAACTCAATGCAATTTGGGTAGTTTTGGATAGGATATTAAATCTGAGCCACTAAAACTGAGTGACCATTAGAGGACAGCAAAGCAGTACTTGACTTTGCAGAACAAAATAGACATATTTTCAACCTATCATAAGATGGTGTTTGGACAGTGTGGTGTATGAGTCATTGGACAGTATGCATTAACAACCAAACATAAGATGAGAGGTAAAAATTTGTCTTCCGCAATCCATATTAAAATTGTGCAAATAGATGAGAAAAAGTATTTAACTGGTAAAAAGACACTGACAGAAGTGCACTATGTATACATGTTTAAGGCTACATAAATATGGATGACACTAGAACAAGGGTGTCAAACTCGTGGCCTTGGGCCGGATGCATCACGTGCTGGCCACACTCAGCCCTGGTTTAGCAAAGGGGGAAAAAGTTGCCATATGTCATGTTACAACAATGTGTCGTCGTGAGTTTGATAGTCTTGCATTAGAAGAAAGCAGAAAGATACAAGTTGAATTCTGGTGCTAAGAGAAACCAATCAACTGAATTTTTGCAACCTAGCTCAGGTAGCCATAAAATTGGCATCTTGCTCTTTTCATTCTTTTAAGATGTACTAAATCCCACTTCCTCCTCCTTCTCATTTTTTTCCCCTTGAAAACAGCTTTTTTTAAAAAAGAAAAATCATCCCAATCATTGAATCAGTATATAGCCAACTTCTATAGCTACAAATTCTGGAACTCTAGTTGCAATTCCATACGCACATGAAAGCGATTGTCAGTGAACATAATGGGACTCATTATAGACAAAAACATAGGTTCAAAGAATAAAGTGGTAGCACTTATATACAAATTAAAAACCAATTACTTTTTTTTCAATGAGCCAAGGGAAATAATTGTTCGAAAATACGGTGCACTATATTGATACTACTCTAGCTTTGGGATGCACTTATGACTCAAAGAGCAACAGCAAACCATGCAATAAATACTTTAAGAATAAATTTATTTTAAACATTGTTTACCCATTCCCCTGCTTTCAGTGACCCTGGACAGAGGATAGCGAAACAATAAGAATCTGCTTTTGTGAAAACGATCTGAACTTGTGAAATAACAACATATGGTGGAATATGACACAACCACATACTATTTCATTCTTCCTCTTTGCATCTCCTTCCTTTAAAAAACCCTCAATGTAATATGATATATTTAGAAGGGCACATTTAAAAGTCAAACAAATCCTACAAATGTTTCACATACATGGAATACAAAGAGAGTTTTTAATGATAATTCATGAAACCAGGATAGTGTTAAATGTACTGTTTGCTCCATAAAGTATTATGACAAGGATTTAGATATGGCATTGATACGAATATTTCATATTGTCCATTTTGTTTTATAAGAACATTTATAAAGAAAGAAGCAGTGATGTTCAGTTATGAAGTGGGTGCGTCCATGGCTACATATGTAGACATTTGGTGATTGCAATGCATTCTTTGGCAAACTGAAATTCACATTACATATTTTTATCCTAGCCATGAATACATTTTTTTGCATTAAAATAGTATTCTTTAGCACATTAGACTAATCATAAATAGTAACAAAAACAAGGCTGTTTAAGGATGATAAAAATTTTGATTCAAAATCTGTGCAACACAGTAAAGTTAATTCTCAGTACAATTCAAAAGACAATAATTATTGTCATACTATTTTCCAAACATACATCCAACACTATAAATTATGCACTGATTCTATGACCTATGCATAAATAAGATACTGGATGAGAGGATGATGGTTACTGAAATCCAATTTTTGTAATGATTAGACAGCTGGTTATGCTAATCAGTATTCTAAACAAACAAGTTATAGCACAGTCCAAAGATTTTCTATATTTGCATATGAAAAAAGATGGAAGATTCTGCAATATATTTGATACCAATTTTGAAATCTGTTTTGAAATCCAAATACTACTTTGCTCTGAGGCTATGTTAATATTAAAAACCTATAAATGATTCAATTCATGAAAACTTGAGCAAAGAAAATTAAATGACAGACAATATCATTGTACATAGCCATTTTTGGATTTTGTAGTGTTCAAGCAGCACTGTATACATAAATCTGCGAATAATGCTGTTTTATCAATCTAAAAGAAAATTTTTGATAGTATTTTGAGGGTATAATTTTACCTCTTTTACTGTAATAAACAGAAATTCTGATTCACATGCTGACTGGAATTTCCAATATTAAATAGTTGATTAGTACAAATACTTTATCTTAGTGAAATATGATGTCCAACATGCTTCATTTTGATTGATAAATCCAGTAATGTTTATATTCCTGGATTAAAATTCAGTTTAATTAATTATAAAGAATTAACTCAATTGGAAATTTGCAAAACTTGCTCCTGTCTGGATAAGTTACTGATAGACATGATTGAGTATAAAAGCTGCTAACCACATGATACCTGTGAACTGATTTTTATATAACATTATGCTATATGATTAAAAGAACTAACATTTTCACACCCATTCTTTGTTTTTTAAATGAATATACAAAAGGCACTAAGCAATGGCAAAATAGATTTGGCTATAAAATTGTAGTGAATTTTCAAAAATAGTTGCATATCTTTAAAGTTATATAACAAAACAAGGAAACCAAATGTAAAAGGCTTATAATTAGTTTCACATACACAAGACACACAAAATTGATAAATAAGACAATAAATCTTCAAAATTGTTTTAACATACCCCTTTTAAGGATACATTCCTTGACAATATTTAAACAATCACAATTTCTTAGCATTGGGACTGTGACTAAAATAATGTGCATAATATTTCATTCATTAATTACTAAGGATACATACTCTTTACAAAGAAATAGATCAACTTTTAAGGCAGAGTCACAAGAAATGGCTTTGCTGGTAGCCCTTCTTTAGATATTTGAAAATATGCTATTTTAATATTTAAGTATGTTAAAATAGCATATTAGTGGACAAAAATTCATATCAATTCAGTGGTTTGGGTGTTTATCAAATACTTTCTATCTAAATTTCACATTAGTTTTGGTTTTGAGTTTTGCTTTAAAAGGTAATCAAATTCTAATTGTACCCCATTGAAAAATAATCTATAATTGTTATTTGAGCCTTTAAAAACAGGCAAATAGACTGTCCACTTCAAAAAGGCATTCAAAGGTGCATATTTGTGCAACAGAAATATATTCATGATATGTGTAAGATTTTCCAAGTATTAAATGCTTGAATACCTTATGAAGCTCAAAAAGTACACAATAGCGCCTATGGGCAAGCAGAGAATTATAGAATAGTACTTCTTTAATACTGAGCAAGGCATCTGATTTTCTAACATTTACCTCTTGGAATAAACTTTCCAAAGAAGTTTCTCTAATATATATGTTCTTGCTTTGCTAAATCCTCTCAATTGCACCAAAGCTAACAATTATTAATAGGCTGAGTAGGATTTTAAATTTGGGAACAGTCATTTTAAAATGAGTAAGGGCCACCATAATCTGTTGGTGTTCTTTAAAATCCCAAGACAATGATAAAACACCACAATTTCCTTTCCATCTGTAGCACCATGAGTTGACCGTGCAATAAGTGGAAGACCTCACATCAGACTCTTGGCCTTATCATTTGATTTATGCATGCACTCATAAAAAAATCTGGGTTGGGAGAATTTTGTATCTTTCTTGGCAACTCTCCAAACCTAACAAGGGGTAAGCCCTTTCGGTATTTACAGTTTATGTTTTTGAACTCCTGCTTACATCACAGAGATCTGGGAACTATTCATTCCAAAAGCACTTAAGATAATAGTATTTCCAAGAAAGCATAGTCTTACAAAGACAAGGCAGTGGGAGAGAAAATGCTGTGACATAAACTGAAGCCTTCAGAGTTAAAGAGCCCAAACAAAGGTGGGGCAGGTGGAGAAGGTATGTGGACTGCCCAACAGTCAAACCATATTGTCTCCTTCCTAAATATTTTTAGGAAGTAGATTGGTTAAAAATACCAGAAAGCTTTCAAGGCATACTATGGATAGAGCTCATTGGAGATTCTGGACAACAAACTTTCACAGGCTGCAATTCCAGGCAAAGAGTCCCACTTCGAGTTACATGGCTTCTGATAACTCCACTATTCCTTCACTAGCTATGACTTCCTTTTCCATGCTGGCACAGGTCCTACCTTCAAACAACTTCTGTTTCAATTTATTGAGTTCATACTCGTGTAAGATTCTTTGTGTTAAGTACTTCTCACGTTTTATTTTAGCCTTCACCTCAGATGGGACATCTGGAATCATCCAGGCCACAAAGAATTTTACAATGAAGACAACATGCTGGAAGAGAAGACAAAAGAGAAGAATGTATGAAAAGAGGTTACGGAAACATGGCGTCATTTCTCCTTCATTGTTTTAAATGTTTGCAATGTGCTTGAATAAGTGAAGTTTAGCACTTCTGCAACATTAAACAAATACTCATGCTTTTGTCATTGCCAATTTTAGTGCTCCAATTTTAATGTTACCAGTGAATTGGTTGGATAAGTGATGAAAGAAAATTTCTACTGCCATTGCAATTTACCTTGAATCATAAATCAGTAAATTTAAATGAGTGCTCATTTGAAAGTACTCCTGACTGAGTTCTTCACTCACAAAAGTAGAAGATCCAAGTTCAATGTAACAATAAAGTGCCATGTTGCATATGCTAAGAGCAAATTCAGTAGTCTAAATACCAATCTTTATGTAGTAAAATGATCATATGCAAAAGGAAGATGATTGTGGAGAACCCTTGAGCTTGCAGAACAATGCATCCACAGGTTCATGCGTGGAAACTGTTCATAGATTTGCCTATGTTTCATATATTAATGGGGGACTCTAAAAGAGTTCACATGTTCAGTGACTTTAAACTTTTGATTGGCTGCTGAAAGAAGCCAGAACAAAGGAGGCATAAAATTGTTGATGCCAAAATGGCATACACAGTGATGTCATCATGCAAATTCTGTCTTTATGAATTTGCATTCAAACATAATCATGCATATTTTGTTTCCTTTGTCCTTTTCCCTTATTGCCTCCACCAATGAAAAGCAGCATGATAGTCCAGCAATTGTATGGTTAGATATAGTTAGCAGCCTGTGCAAAAATACTCCAAATACAACTTTTTGTCACAAGTCTCATTTTAAATTAACTGAGTGCCTGAAATGTTTTGTAGTATGTGTATGTGTATACTACATATTAGTGTGTTTGTGTGCATACAACATTTTTTGAAAATGGTTTGCCATGCTGCTTCCTAAGGCTGAGATGTAATGACTGGCCCAAAATCATCCAACTGACTTCCATGCTTAAGGCAGGATTAGAACTCTAGTGTCCTCATTATTAGTCCAGTACCTTAACCAATTTATTTATTTACCTACTTTCCTACTGAATATACACACACATACAGAGAGATTCTTGTTTGCTACATGCATCATTGCTGTTGTACAAGTTGCACTAACTACCAGTTACCTTCTGGCTGTAATTCTGGGTGTTGGAAATCCCCTATAAAACCCTTCATGGAATAATGTTGTGTATTTGACAGACCACCTAATTCCAGTTATTTCTTTCTGTTTGGTATATTTGGGCAGCATGAGTGCACTCTAGGCTTCCTCCATTAAACATGATCATCTTGTGGGACCAAGAAATGTGTCTTCGCTGTTGCACTCCTGCACTCTGGAACAATATCTAAATCTCTCCCCCAAGCTATGTATGGGTCCCATGCTGCAAGCATTCTGAAAGTCTCAAAATCTAGCTCTTGTTCTCAAGACTGGGATTAGAGATTTTGTGAAATATTGTAAACCACCCAGTGTGTTTTGGGAGTTGGGAGGCTGTAAAACCCAGTAGCATTTGTAGGTGCTTAAAAAATAACAGTATATAATTAGTAAGTGGTAAATAGTAATGAACAAGAAGTAAAAATGAGATCTTACTTTTGTAATTTATTGATTTATAATTTCCAGATTTTGCAATCACCCATTCATAACTCTGGGCAGATTTAAATAACTAATTACTTCATAATTAAGGATCAAATTGTACCAGGATTTCAATTCCCATTTTATCAAAATGCAGCCTTGATCTGGGCTTTGTGGAAGAGTAACTAGATGAAAGCCTCTCCTCAATGCAAAATAGATGAAAGCCTGTTTAAAGTTTGTTCCTCACAGTCTGACAGTCCTTTTTTTTACAAACTCCAAGTGGGCTTTCATCTGTTTGCACTGAGGAGAGGCTTCCATTTAGCCACTCTTCCATATAGTCCAGATTGGTGGAATGCTGCAGTGATAGTTGTCCTTCTGGAACTCTGTCCCATCTCCGCACAGGATCTCTGGACCTCAATCAGAGTGATCACAGATTCTTGGTAACTTCTCTTAGTAAGGCTCTTTTCCCCAAATTGTTCAGTTTGACTGGGTGACCAGCTCTTAGATGAGTCCTGGTTGTACCAAACTTCTTCCATATGAGAATTATGGAGGCCACTGCTCTTAGGAACCTTAAGGGCAACAGAATTTTTCTTGTAGCCTTCCCCAGATCTGTGCCTTGCAATGATCCTGTGCCTTGCAATGATCCTGTGTCTCTGAGCTCTGCAGGCTGTTTTTTTTTTTTACCTATGGCTTTTGCTCATGCATTGTCAGCTGTGACATATTCTATAGAGAGATGTGTGCCTTTCCAAATCATGTCCAATCAATTTAATTTACCACAGGTGGACTCCAATCAAGGTATAGAAACATGTCAAGCGAAATGTAAGGTACAGAACTAAATTTTAAGTGTTGTTGCAAAGGGTCTGAATACTTATGCCAATGTGATATTTCAGTTTTTTATTTTTAATAAATTTACAGATATTTCTAAAATTCTGTTTTTACTTTATCATTATACAATACTGAGTATAGATTAATGAAAAATAATAATTTCAACCAAAGAATCAGGCTAAAGTATAACAAAATTGACAAAAGTGAGGGGGGGGTCTGAATACTTTCGAATGCATTATATATAACATATATACCTTTCACTATAACTCAGTATTGACACTAGCATATTACATTTAGGAGAAGAGCAGAAGAACTTAACAATAATTATAAAAAACATTTTACCTCCATAATAATTATAAAAGCCATTTTTGCAGCCAGGATGTGCCAGAATTGCATTGTGTGCATGTACTGCTTCTCATGGTCTGGTGGATATCGATAATCCCTGTACCTGTTGAATATAAACATCTAAAGGTGAGCAGCTACCCTGAAACACAGAAGATTACAATTGCTGTGGCATTTACATTCACATAAAGCTGTCAGTTAGGAGGACTTTTGATCCCGATGTTATTGTTTTGTTTTTTCAGTACAAAATCTGACTCATGTTTCTCATTTGTTCAAGCATAGCAAAAGCCAAATGTGAGAATATATTTACAGGGGAAAAAAAATTACACATATTAAAAGAGAGAATAAGGTGACCTGGGTAGCACAGTATGAAACATGGGTTGGCATAAATGAACAATAGAATACAAGATGAGTAGTAGTAGTTCTATAGTACAAATTGGAAAAAAAATGCTAAAAGACAATCAAATCAGTGGTGGGATTCAAATTTTCTTACTACCGGTTTGTGGGCATGGCATAGTGGGCATGGCATGGCTTGGGGGGCCTGGCAGGGGAAGGATACTGTAAAATTTCCATTCCCTCCCCACTCCAGGGAAAGGTTACTGCAAAATCCCCATTTCCTCCTGATCAGCTGGGACTCGGGAGGCAGAGAATAGATGGAACGGAGTCAGTCAGAAATGATATTTACTGGTTCTCCGAACTACTCAAAATTTCTGCTACTGATTCCCTAGACCTGGTCAGAGCTGCTAAATACCACCTCTGAATCAACTGTATTGCATAGGACAAATGTATGACCAGCAAAGAAACAGAGATGGTGGATAGTAGAAAGCTACACCACAAATATGGCAATCCTTTCAGGTTAAACTAAATTCCATGGGAAAAAACATGGAAAATCATATTACTGAAAGGCTATTCTATCACACATAATGAGATATCTGTTGGACAAGAATGCTGGAGAGAAAGGAAACTGAGACCACAGGGGAATATCTAAGCTTAAAAATAGTACACATATAAATTATCTTTGCTTAGCTCTGGAAAATGCACTGTGCAACAATCATCCATCTCTTGTGCATTTCTACTTAGAAATTATAGAATAATCAAAGATATTCCCACTAAAAAGTGCAAGTCCATATCAAAATGCATAGGGAATCTAATTCCACAATTTAGTTCCTTACATTTTCTGTATTTTAATACAAAAAATATTATTTGTTTTGACTATATTTAATGGTATAAGCTAGAATAGTCTGGCAGTTCAGTAAACTTGTTTGCAGAGGGAAGGAGGGAGGAAGAGCAATAATAAAGAATTGCTTTGTATAATTTGATTGATTTGTATAGTTGCATGCTTTTTTTTTTACTAATGTGTGGGGTGCCTGCAGAAGAGACCTGTAGTGGACAATTTTGAGATTTGAGGAGGGAGATTGTTATTCCTTTGTGAGAGATTTTTAAAATATGGTGTAATTTTTAAAGGTAAGATGTTTTTAAAATACAGTAATTTTTTAAAAATTGAGTTGTGGAGACTGACAAAGGCTCACATGAGTTACAAATTCAAGCCAAAAATAAACCAGTTCTTGCTTAACATAAATCATGGTTTGTAAAATAAGTTTAAACTCTGTGGTCTCCAAAGTAACGTCTATTATCTGAGATGAATTCAGATAATAAAGTGGAATAAGCCATAGCATTACAACATCTTAGCATTGGAACTGAATTACATTTATTAAAGAGTCAACTAATTACATTTCCCTATTTTCATAATTGATATTTCCCATTTTAATTACTATAAATACATCTTGTCTGTAACCATCGCTACTGTTATACAACTGACGGCTAGACAGATTATAAAGATGTCAACAGAATACATGTATAAAGATCAGAAAATCACAACTGATATTTTATAACATGTATACTTATTATTACATTTATATCAATATAAAGCATAAAATGGAATAATTGCAACTAACCTGCAACTGGTAAATTTGCCTGAATTCTGTTCAGGTTTGTGTTTTTCAGGAAAATCTGAGATTCGGAATACTGAAAGGCTATTATTAATGTATCCAGACATGGGTAAGTCAGAATCCACAAAATAGGCATAATAGTATACCAATCGAGGAATCATATCAGATGTGAAGGCTACAATAAAAGCCTGCAGGAAACAATTGGTTATTTATGTTAATTAAGATATATTTTTGCATGTTCTATGCATGTTAACTGATTAACTACTCAGTGACAAAGGATAAATTGATTTACAATTAAGTTATACTGCATGTCATATCTACTGTATTTTTCGGAGTATAAGACACACCAGAGTATAAGATGCAGCAAGGTTTTGAAGAGAAAAATTTAAAAAAAAGTTTTGGCACTCTGTAAACCTCCCAAAAATGGCCAATTTTTCATCAAAATGGGCCCATTCCCCCCACCAAAAAGGCATGAATAGCCTTTAGGGAGCTTGAAGAGTACTCTCGGTTAGGGGGGGAGTGAGCAAAAAATACCCCATTTTTTTTGCAAAAATGGGCCCATTTTTGTAAAGTAAAAGGGCATGGATAGCCTCTAGGAAGCTTATAGAGTGCTTCTGGGGGTTGGGGGGGTGTAAAATTGAGCAAAAACAACATGACCCGACAAAAGCGCACACGACAAAAGCCCGCTGACAAAACCGTGTTGCTAAAACCGCGATGTCATTAATGCGCCGACAACAGCGCGGCGACAGAAGGGCGATTTACAACAGCACGTCAACAGAAGGGCGATTTAAGTTAAGGTAAGGGTTAGGTTTAGGGTTAGGTTTAGGGTTAGGGTTAGGGTTACGTTTAGGATTAGCGTTACATTTAGGGTTAGGGTTAGGTTTACAGCGTGCTTCTGTCGCCGCGCTGTTGTCAGTGCGATTCAGCGCTTATTCGTCAGAGCGCTTTGGAACTCACAATTTTATCACCACGGTTTAGTCGGGCGCGCTTTTGTCGGTCACCCTTTTGTTCATGAACCAAAAACGGGCCATTTTTGCTCATTTCTGCCCTCCCAGCCCCCAGGAGCTCTCCAAAAGCTATGCATGGCCATTTTGGTGAAGGGGTGGGGTTTCAAAAAAATGCTGTATTCAGTGTATAAGACACACCCAGATTTTCAGCCTCTTTTTTGAGGAAAAAAGGTGCGTTTTATACTCCAAAAAATATGGTATGTTTATCTCTCAAATCACCCAAAACAAGTGACTTTAAAGATTTAGCAGGTTTTTGCCAACATGTACCCATGCTTAACATTAGTGGTAAGTAATTACACCAGGAACAGAAGAAAAACAATAACTTTACAAACATTAAATAAATCCAATTTAAAACACAAAAGTTCGTTTCCAGCTTCAAGGACCCTAGAATAGGAGATTGGTGAGCTCCTTCCTCACATTGGTTGGAGAGATAACTCTTGTTTGCTAACAGTGTTGGT